CCGTCCAACACAATTCCCTATCACAACCACGAAAATTAATAGATAAGGTAAAAAAAAATGGAGTTGAAAAAACATTTTTTTTTCCTCAAATTTCCTACAAAACAATTCATGCTTTATTTTTTTTGTTAAATTCGGTTGGTTCGTATTGTCTGCCATGCGCGTGATGGCCTGTCAATCATGATTATTGCTCTGAAAAATAATGATTAATTGACCATGAGAACCGGGGCAGAGAGAGAGAGAGAGAGAGAGAGAGAGAGAGAGAGAGAGAGAGAGAGAGAGAGAGAGAGAGAGAGAGAGAGAAAGAGAGAGAATGTGGTTTTTAACGCGAAAATATGTAGAGATTTATTTCTCTGCCTACTCGAAAAATATATATATGAAATGGTCAGTAAATTTTGTATGCGTATTTTGAAGGTCAGATTTTTTTTGTATATTTTCACATATATATTTTAAACTCAGTTTATCTGGGAGAGAGAGAGAGAGACAGAGAGAGAGAGAGAGAGGTCAAGCGGTGAACTACCATCGATTCTCAGCCGTAGGTTCTGACATCGAATTCCCACTGAAGCAGGAACACATTGACCACGTTTCCTTTCACCTCATGCCTCTGTTCAACTAGTAGTAATTAAATAGGTACCTGGGAGTTACAGTTTCTGAGGGTACCATCCAGGGTATGGTCAATAGTTGGCCTAGTAGTTATATACACACACACACACACACACACACACACACACACACACACACACACACACACACACACACACACACACACACACACACACACACACACTCCGTGACAAAATAAACCCTCCGGGTAGGGTTGACTGGGTACCCATCCAATTCTGTTCGCCCCAATTCGCCCAGCAGTAATTGGGAATCTGGAAGTAAAATCTATTGGAGAGTCGTGTTCCAGGGATAAACACGAGGGTAGGGCTTACCATGAACTATGGGGAGGGACAGAGCTCAACCTGCTACCAGGAGACGGAAGACGTGTCAATGACGTCTCTATGACGTCTATACGACGTCTATATGACCCTCCCCGGAGTAAAAAAAAGACATAGAACTTCAATTTTCAGAGAAATAAACAAAAAAGTAAAGCGTTAGACGGAGGTGAAGATCTTCTTCACTAAGTAAACAAGCCCTTACAATCAAGTAGAAAAGCCCTTACAATCAAGTAGAAAAGCCCTTACAATCAAGTAGAAAAACCCTTACAATCAAGTAGAAAAGCCCTTACAATCAAGTAGAAAAGCCCTTACAATCAAGTAGAAAAGCCCTTACAATCAAGTAGAAAAGCCCTTACAATCAAGTAGAAAAGCCTTTACAATCAAGTAGAAAAGCCTTTACAATCAAATAAAGCTTTATAATCAAGTAAAAAAGTCCAGATAATGTAATGAATCCAAACACAGATCTTTATTTATGTACAAAAATCCCCTGAAATAACTAAATATGAACAAACTTGGGCAATTACCAGGAAGAAGCATTAAGTCAGAGGAGCAATTTTGTTTAACTAACACATTTAGGTGTTTCTGCATTTGTGCAGCTGCCCTAGACTATATGAAGGGGAGTACAGTGTGTGTCAAGAACTAGCTGCCCTAGACTATATGAAGGGGAGTACAGTGTGTGTCAAGAACTAGCTGCCCTAGACTATATGAAGGGGAGTACAGTGTGTGTCAAGAACTAGCTGCCCTAGACTATATGAAGGGGAGTACAGTGTGTGTCAAAAACTAGCTGCCCTAGACTATATGAAGGAGTGTACAGTGTGTGTCAAGAACTAGCTGCCCTAGACTATATGAAGGAGTGTACAGAGTGTGTCAAGAACTAGCTGCCCTAGACTATATGAAGGGGAGTACAGTGTGTGTCAAGAACTAGCTGCCCTAGACTATATGAAGGAGTGTACAGTGTGTGTCAAGAACTAGCTGCCCTAGACTATAGGAAGCGGGGTGTATAGTGTGTCAAGAACTAGCTCCTTAGACTATATGAAGGGGAGTACAGAGCGTGTCAAGAACTAGCTGCCCTAGATTATATAAAGAGGGGTACAATGTGTCAAAAACTAGCTTCGCAATGCTAAAATGAATCCCCATCACACAGGATAATTAGTCACACAGGGCCATGTGATCAACAGCCTGCTCTGGGCCATTAACAGACCAATTACACTCGCCATTCAAGATCGTTCCTGTGAATAAACACCTTCACCTTGTCTCCAATCGAAAGAATGAGATCATATATAAATCAACTTCATATAGAAGTTGATTTATACTTCTACACAAAAGATTACTACAACAACTACTCAAAAAAGTCCTTATTAAGGCTGCTCAATAGCTCTGTTGACACAGCATGGGCCTCACATGCCTGGGGTCCACGGTTCGAGTCTCCTACAGCCCAGGTGAAGGGAATAACATGGTCTACTTTTGCCTTTGGATTGCTAAAGAGTCCAGCAAGGGATCACTTGTCTCATTTCATTCACCTGGGTTCAAGGAGACTCGAACCCTGGACCCATGGACCCGTGGACCCATGACATGAGCTTCTCTTCTGTCATATCTCTCATGTCAGCTTGTCTCATGTCAAGAGCTGCTGTTTTTCTATGGCTGGTGATTTGAAAATTGAGAAATTTGTATTCAATGTATATATGTATAAACACAAAAATGTATGTATAAAATTGTATATTGCAAGTGTGAAGGCATTCGAGCGATTACTATGATATATAGTAATCTTTTCTGCTTTCATTCAGTAAAGGGAAAGTTGTTTTGATTAGTTATAGCTAAAAATATATATATATTTTTTGGGTAGATAAGCTCTGCTGAATTTCATGAACATTTTGAATAAATATCCCACCAGTATTAATCCCATTTAATTGAAGTGTACTGATCACGTGTATTGATCACCAGAGAGTAACCTTTTATTTAAATACATTTCATAATAATACCAAAGTGTAAATTAATTGCAAATATTTTTGGGGGGTTCAATAATTTCCATGATTTTGCTTTGCCTAAGAGCTGCTAATTATTTAAATTACTCTTAATGTTTCCTATTTCTGTGGCCAAATTATATGACATGAAGTGTCCAGAAAAATTGTATATTTGTCCAGGGTTCACTTAAAAACGCTAAGAGAACGCGCCCTTTAATCTGTTCATTTGAGAGTTCTTCCCAGTATTTAGAGAGGAAGTTCTCAGAAGTTCTCAGGGTGATTGCAAAGCCAACATGCCAATATATACAATGTTACCTTACATGGAGGACAGAAGAAAATGCATATATGCTAGTTAGCATTGTAAATGTGTGGCCACGTCTGTGGTAGAAAATAATATTAATAAAAACAATTACCTTAAGGGGCAGATATCATGCAGGTAGATCTTTAGAACACAGAATAAAAATTACTTTAACAATTCTAAATCAATCGAACAATTTTATGAGGAAAGCAAATAATTTGTGTATCGTATTATTTATTATTATTAACATATTAATAACAATCAGTGTAGATATTGTTGCCCTTAAACCAAGATAAAACCCAAACACATTCAGCCCCAAAAAACGTAATTATGTAGTATTATCAATTATTAAAAAAAATTATTAAATTCCTTTTGTCTAGTCACTAGGGAAACATTTCAGAGCTATGAGTAGGAGGACCTTAAACCTAGGAGCTAGGAGCAATATACTGTAAACCTAGGAGCTAGGACCAATATACTATAAACCTAGGAGCTAGGACCAATATACTATAAATCTAGGAGCTAGGACCAGTATACTATAAACCTAGTAGCTAGGACCAATATACTGTAAACCTAGGAGCTAGGACCAATATACTGTAAACCTAGGAGCTAGGAGCAATATACTGTAAACCTAGGAGCTAGGACCAATATACTGTAAACCTAGGAGCTAGGACCAATATACTATAAATCTAGGAGCTAGGACCAGTATACTGTAAACCTAGGAGCTAGGACCAATATACTGTAAACCTAGGAGCTAGGAGCAATATACTGTAAAATATACCCTAGGAGCTAGGAGCAATATACTGTAAACCTAGGAGCTAGGAGCAATATACTGTAAACCTAGGAGCTAGGAGCAATATACTGTAAACCTAGGAGCTAGGACCAATATACTGTAAACCTAGGAGCTAGGAGCAATATACTGTAAACCTAGGAGCTAGGAGCAATATACTGTAAACCTAGGAGCTAGGAGCAATATACTATAACCTAGGAGCTAGGACCAATACTATAAACCTAGGAGCTAGGACCAATATACTGTAACCTAGGAGCTAGGACCAATACTATAAACCTAGGAGCTAGGACCATATACTATAAACCTAGGAGCTAGGACCAATATACTGTAAACCTAGAAGCTAGGACCAATATACTGTAAACCTAGGAGCTAGGACCAATATACTGTAAACCTAGGAGCTAGGAGCAATATACTGTAAACCTAGGAGCTAGGACCAATATACTGTAAACCTAGGAGCTAGGACCAATATACTGTAAACCTAGGAGCTAGGACCAATATACTGTAAACCTAGGAGCTAGGACCAATATACTATATACCTAGGACCCCAGAATTTACGAATGTCTATTCAAATATTTCCACGAATACCTTGAAGACTAAACCTACAAATTGTGAATACCAATACCAGATAACAGATGCGAGCCAGATAACCAAACAAGAGATGGTTAACCAGACCGAAGCTGGATAACAAAAGGAGTCGGATAACCGGACGAGAGTCGGATAACCGGACGAAACACCGTGTAACAAGCTTACCACCACTTCTCAAGGAGTTTCGATCTCATTGTGGTCTGTTTTTTTTCACGTTTCTTGAGGGTTTCCTGTCTTAGTTCTTTTTTGTTTGAGCCTCGGGATAAACCTCGTTGAAATTGGATAGGGATGGATAGGGTGTAATAGGGAATAATGGGAAATGAGAGGGAGTGGCGATGGGAAAGGAATGAGGTGTGATATAGGGAGGGATAGGAAGTGACAGAGAGTGATGGGGGAGTGGCGGGGAGAGATGGGGAAGGATGGGGAAAAGGATGGGGAAGGATAGGGAAAAGGATGGGGAAGAAACAGGTAAGTGCTGGAGAAACCTATTTTCCAAAATTAATAAAAAATCCAAAGTAATTGAAGTATAGAGAACGATATAAAATAAGGAACAGACAAATTAAAATAAATAAAAAAGCAGAAAAGGGAGAAAGGGAGAACAAGAGCAGTGAAAGAAGATGGAAACACAGAGAAAGAAGAAGGTCAAACAAGGGAAGCTGATGAGCAGGAGGAAAACCAAATAAATAAGGAAGAAATGATTAAGGGAAGATAACAACACAAGAAAAATCTAAGAAGATTTAAGACAACAAAAGAGGGCAAATTGGCAGTAGAGAAAAGAAGGAAGGAAAAAGAAATAAAAGAAAACATATGAGGAAGATGGACGCAGGAAAATAAGAAGAGGCAGAGGCAGTAGAAGCAAGAGAGGAAGCACCAGAGGCAGTAGAAGCAAGAGAGGAAGCACCAGAGGCAGTAGAAGCAATAGAGGAAGCACCAGAGACAGAAGAAGCAAGAGAGGAAGCACCAGAGGCAGTAGAAGCAAGAGAGGAAGCACCAGAGGCAGTAGAAGCAAGAGAGGAAGCACCAGAGGCAGTAGAAGCAATAGAGGAAGCACCAGAGACAGAAGAAGCAAGGGAGGAAGCACCAGAGGCAGTAGAAGCAAGAGAGGAAGCACCAGAGGCAGTAGAAGCAAGAGAGGAAGCACCAGAGGCAGTAGAAGCAATAGAGGAAGCACCAGAGACAGAAGAAGCAAGAGAGGAAGCACCAGAGGCAGTAGAAGCAAGAGAGGAAGCACCAGAGGCAGTAGAAACAAGAGAGGAAGCACCAGAGGCAGTAGAAGCAAGAGAGGAAGCACCAGATGCAGTAGAAGCAAAAGAGGAAGCAGCAGAGGCAGTAGAAGCAAGAGAGGAAGCACCAGAGGCAGTAGAAGCAAGAGAGGAAGCACCAGAGGCAGTAGAAGCAATAGAGGAAGCACCAGAGACAGAAGAAGCAAGAGGGGGAAGCAGAAGAGCCAACAAAATGTAAACAAAGGCAGCAAAAAAACAGGCAGCAGCAGGAGACTGAGCAATAAAATAAGTCAGAAAATCAGGAATAGAACAGCTAGCAGCAGGAACAGCAACAGCAGGACCAGCAGCAGCAACAGCAGCAGCAGGACCAGCAGCAGCAGCAGCAGGACCAGCAGCAGCAACAGCAGCAGCAGCAGCAGGAAGGCGACCTAGCAACACCTCCAGACAGGAGAGACACATATCACTCTGACCAACAACATGTGATCAGGTTACCTACAATTACACCCGGTGTTCTCTGATGTCGATTAATTGTATGCAATTATTGGGTTTACCTGTTATTCCCCCTCCCTCCCTCCCTCCTCCTTCCTTCCTTCTGTAATTGAGCTTCGTGTTGTACTATCCCTCCATCGTCCTGATTCACACACGCGTGTAGGTTACAGTTTCTGTGAGAACAAAAATTACAAAATGTATATGTCATTGTTTTTGTCTGTTTCAGCTAAACTGTGAATGATGTCTTGGTCAGTCTAGTGTTTTTTTGGGGTTTTGTTTGTACCTCCCTAAAGGTACAATGGTAATTGAGATACAATTATCACCCTAAAAGACCACAGATGAGGTACAATGTCACCCTGGAAGACCCCAGATGACATACAATGTCTTTCTAGAGGACTACAGTAGAGGTACTATGTCACGCTAAATGTCTCAATAAGAGGTATAGTGCGTCACCCTGATCGTCACAGTAGAGGTACAATGTCACCCTGAAGGGCCAGAGTATATAATGTCACTGTACAATGTCACTGTATAGGAGCACAATTGGAAGTTCAGTGATATTGTAAAGAGCCAGAGTAGAGGTACAGTGTCACCTTAAGGGTCCACAGTAGAACTACAACGGCACCCTTAAGATCCACAGTAAAGCTACAATGACACCCTAAAGATCCACAGTAGAGCTACAATGTCACCCTAAAATCGTAAAGATGGGCGCAACACAAAAGGCCGAAATACTGATATAGTTTTGAACAGGAAAAACACCTCTGATCGCTAATTAACATCTCTGATCACTCATAAACATCTCTGATCACTCATAAACATCTCTGATCACTCATAAACATCTCTGATCACTCATAAACATCTCTGATCACTCATAAACATCTCTGATCACTAAACAAACATATATATTTTCTTATATACATCTCAGTTCCTTTGCCCAATTTCTTTGATCATTCAATAGAATGGAATATTGGACTGCATAATAAAATGCTGTAGGAATCTTATGTTTTATTTACAGTGTAAAAAGGTATCTGCTAATAGATCAATAGCTCAGTCGATAGAGCTTCGGGCTCGTATACTTGGGGTACAGGGTTCGAGACCCATACGGCTCAGGTAAATGAAATAGAGATCCCATTCTATCATTACATTGTGAGATAGCCCCACATATATCATGATATCAACCTTCCCCGAAACTCAAAGTATGGATTGGTTATCTACTGGTGTTGATAAACACTAAAACTAGTCAAGGCAAAGTCCCACTCGTCTAGACGTCGACGAGTGGGACGTGGAGTGGGACATAGAGGGGGACTAAGTGGGACTTGGCAATTCCCCCAAGTGGCAAAGTCCTTATGAGAAAATCTGAAAATTCAGAACAACAGGAATTTCCTACTTACCGAATGACAGAGTCCCAAGCAAAGTAAGTCTGGGACTGAATTCCAACATGAACCTCATTTCTGAAGCACACAAATGAAACAAGACTACAAGTCTTAACTCCCGGCGCACTGAGTTAAGTCTAGGACCAACTTTATCATCAAGTCTGACTCGTCGAAGCTGAGACTGACACCAAGGGGGTGCATTCAGCACGTCATTTTGAGTAAACAAAATGTTAATTCCTCTCAAAAATAATTAATGGGGTTTTATGTTATAATTTTGTGTACAGTCTGGCCCTAGGAGTAGTTAGGTTGGGTGTTTTGATTCTGTTAGCAGTGATTTGTATTTTTAATTTGTGGGAAATACACATTCAGTCCTCGAACTAGACTGGTTAACGCGGCAAACGACCCCACGCACCCCCATTCCAAAGAAGCATTTATCAATTAAAATGATTGTGCATATAATAGATTTTCTCATATATATTAATAATATTTTATATTAGTTCTATATATAATTAGCATAAGATAGGTTAGGCTATGTGTTTAGATTCTGTTGGTAATTATTTGCATTTCAAGTATGTGGATGAAGCGTTCACGGGATTCGAACAGAGGAGTCAGCGAGACTCTGTTCGAGAAATGTTCGAACGTCATCACTTGTGAGTCGAACGTAAACAGTTTTTCACAAAAAAAATAAACTTGGGGTTAGAAGGCTAGATTAACGAGCACTTGACCTTTGTCTACGAGGACGGGGTAGCGAAAACCACTTCAGGAGGTGTGATTCGACTACAGATAGAGAGTGAAGCATTGTTTAAAAAAAGCTCGAACGTACTCAGCTGTTCGTGGATTTGTTTTCATTTTCGTCATTCATAAACAGGTGATTTTGGCGCTTGAATTAACTCACATTTGGCCACTGTTTACACTCCTTACTCACTGTTTATGAGGAAGGTGTGTGTGTGTGTGTGTGTGTGTGTGTGTGTGTGTGTGTGTGTGTGTGTGTGTGTGTGTGTGTGTGTGTGTGTGTGTGTGTGTGTTTTATGTATGAACCGCCACACACGCTTCAATACATTGGTTCACATGTTCAGACCAATCTTGATTTCCACTAATCGCAATC